TATGGAGACTAAAGTGACGTTCATGGAGAACTCTAGAGACGGTTTAGACATTCACCAAACGGAAAACAAAATTAAAATGACATATGTGCAGTAATAAAATCGAGTGATGGGTTACTCTTTGAGGTAACAATAGATACAAAGTTCCTAAGTTAAACGTTTAGAGCTTCACAACTTATTTAAAGTAAGAAACAAGGTCGGACATCGAAATTGAATCATTAAACCAGTTTGGATTTATACTGCAGTGTCTCATCAAACCAAAATCGTTGTTATACATGCTAACAGTTGTGTTGGACGTTCGTTTGAGTACTGTTAGTTTAAGAGTTGCATGCGTAAATACAAATAGATATGAAGAACATGGTGCGACCTGTGAGCAATTCTTAAGACCATTAATTTATTTGTCAACCTGTGCTGCATACAAATAAACAGAAAACGAAGCTTTCACGACAAACGTATATTAAAGTCGAATCATGGGTTACCATATAAGATAATATTAGATAAAAACTGGATGGTAAACATTGTTAAGAATGATAATCATCAATGTAACTAAAGTTTAGAAGGTCCAGACGAAGTAGTGATCTTATAAAAGCGTGACGCGAGAGCGAGTTATCGGCATTTGTATTTTCTATCTAACCATGGAACTCGTTGATTGGAAATAAGGCATGCAGTGATCGAGCAAGAAAAAGTGTTATGAGATAGTCTGTGGCAAAAATGGCGCATAGCATGAAGTAACGAAGCAAGAAGATTAATTTATAATTGATTGCTGGTTGAGTCTTACTTTGCATATTTTGCCGGCAGATTTCTGTCCTCATTGGAGTGCAGATATATTTACAAGTGATTGATATCTTAACGAACACTTATTGAGAGCGTATACATTCTGCTGATGCTTGTTAAATAACTATGATAGCTGACTATAATCCTAACTGATTAATTAGTTGTGTTGGCTCAGATAGTCACCAAATTTTGAATTTCGCTCAACCTTCAGACATAACTGAGAACGTTCGTGGTAATTTACAAACTTATGCGATGAAGGTAGGGAACGAAATGGTAAAGGCTGCAATCAAAATGGTTGGATTATTCGAAGTTTTTCTAACTAGTGTAGATCAGCAACGTCGTTGATCTATGTCAATGATTGTAAGACTACTCGAGTTGAACGAGAATGGTGTGATCTTCTAGCTTGTGTTGGATTCGCAAATCACTGTAACCTGGACTATTCTATCATGATTACCCGGTGTCTGTCTAGAATGAACAATCTCAGTAGACAGCAGCTCATTTTATTATCAATAATATGCAGAAGTACAGAACGGAACGGCAGTTGCATGAGCCTGTCCACGGTAAGCATTCGATCAACCCCAAGTTGACTATACTGACCTTGATCAGATTCAGTTAATATTTGATTTTAAGAAACCTACCTTCTGGCTAGTGAACAGTGAGGTTTCAGTGTCCCTACAGTTGTGTTTTGACTAAATAATAATAACATCTAACAAGAAGTGGAGGCTCGTTGCGTAAAATGATTCGCATTTCCCTTTCAAAGCCAGTTGACTCGACAAAGTAAGTTATTTATGTTGGCTAGGCACAGGCCTAGAGGAAGCTTCCAGGATAAAACTCGTTGAGCAGCATTTTGATGTGAATAGCCTTCCAAATTATACAGACTTCCAGGGTTTTGATATTGATACCAAACTTGCTAACTTTAATATGCACTATTCACTGTTGAATTCAACTGACTATAACCCTAAAAAATACCACAGCCAGAAGCGTAAAGCTCCTCCTACTCTGTATGGATAGATTGAAAGTAACACACTTCTTTCTGAGTCTCAAAAATTGATGGTACTATAATTTGTTTACGACTTTTGTGCGACAGCATATACAGCGGTAAATAAATCTCCAAATAATGAGTTCTGTAGGTCTTCTACATTTATACTGGCCTCACGTGTTCTACTGGACACATTCCAGCTGAAGGCGCTCTGTCACGCATCCACGTCAGATCACGAGCTGCGACGCCATGCTAAGCATCATTTGTAACATCTAGTCAGCTTAGATTAAGTGCTTCCCGATATATCGATACCCTTCCAAATATAACTTCGAACCTCTTCACTCCTGAATGCTGGTTTGACTGGGATGGCATATTTTGATTATAAAAGTGTTACGTATGAATGTGTTTTAATTTCCGAATACTTGTGACGCCTTTTGTGATGAGACTGACGCAAACTGTTAATCTGTTCCTTGTTTGAAAATTATACGTTATTTTTAATTTTTGATTTGATAGACAATGATATTGTTCTTATGTTTTCCGATATATTTTCCGGCCCATATGATATATCATCGTGACAGGGCGGACACTCAAGCTCCCCAAGATTAAACCTCTTTCGTCCCCCACATTTCAGCTCATACCATTCTGGCCCGATAATTTTGAAGCCTGGTTCAGCTACGTAGAACCTGACTTCCACGAGCATGTAGTGACAGACTCATGTGCCCGATTCCTCGCAGTAGTGAAGGCATCGCCATGCAACTTTAGCAAATAAGTCACGTCTAGCATGTTAGATAGTGATGGCTCGGAAGATTACAACACTTTGAAGGAGCTTATTCTTAAACGTGTAGGCCTAACTAACCGACAAAGTTTAACCGAAATTTTCCACAAAATCGGGTTACAACAAGGCTCAGCAACAGAAATGTTGTTACGTATGTAAAAATCATTGGACAACAGATTTCTGACGAGGGCCTGTTTAGACAGCTTTTATTGTCAGAACTACTCCGACATATTAAGGCAGTTCTGGTCCCACTTTAAAACAACGTCACATACAAGCTGGATACATATGCCGACCAGATACTGGCGATCATCCGAACCACCAATGATGAGGTTTATTCTGTTAAAGAAAATCCTCAAAAGATACGAAATGACTTTACAGACCTCTATCACACCCTGACCCGTTATCTCATCATTCAATATAATCGTAGATGCCCTCCAACTCCTCGGAGTACCTTGTCATGACAATGATCTGTCTCTAGGCTAAGAGAGGCAGATAATTCAGGTTTGTGTTAGCATCACAATAAATCCTGTTAATCCTTTAGAAATGGCAGAAAACCACTCAATTTCTCAAACTCCAAACCATCCGACAGGAAACTGCTTTGCGAATCTTTTCCGCTGGCACACGTTGACGGGGACTGAAGTCGGAAAACACAGCCATCTGTTACATACCATTGATATGATGTCGAAAGTTTTCCATTTCGTTGACACTGGCGCAGAAGCTAACATTCTTGCCGCAAGTCGTAACGACCGACTGCACGAACTGCTTTCCGACTTACAATCGGCAAACAGGAAGCCCACTGCCACATGAGATAAATAATATGTGTATCTTAACGTAGGTTTATATAAACCCTTTCGCTGGATCTTCGTTATTGCAGAAGTTTCTGTGCCAATCCTTTGCACAGACTTGCTACAACATCATAACCTACTCATCGACACGCGCAAACGGAGGTTAATGGACAGAGATACTAAGTTATCTGTTCGTGTAGCCTCTTTTTCCAGTTGCAGGTTATCCCCAATCGACGTAAGGTACATAACCGGTCAATACTACCAAGAGATACCTGATAGAAACCCCGATATGTACTAAATGCGACGTCAATCGCTGTTTTTTAACCAGCAATGTTGAACACCATATCACAACCACAGGACCGCCTTTATTTTTGAATGCTCTCCGACTATATCTTGAGAAGCTAAGGTTGGCTGAAGGCGAATTTGACTACACGACAGACTTGAGAATTATTAGGCCATCAAACAGTCCATAGGCATCTTCCCTAAACATAGTTCCTAAAAAGGATAGCAGTGATTGGCGTCCAACTGGTAACTATCGGCACATGCCTTTCGGTTTAAGAAATGCTTCACAAACTATCCAAAGATTCACCGACGACGTCTCAACTTCGGATGTGCATATGTTGATGATGGCATGACTGCACGTCGAGATAGAAAATATTCATCTCCAACATCTGGACCTTGTTTTCGAACGACTCTAAAAACACAGAATTACTGTAGGCTCTCAGAGATGTCAACTAAGCACCAACTCCCTAGATGTTCTCGGACACACCACTGATGCTCGAATCATCCGCACTCCGACAAGTGGCGACCAATCTGGATTATCCAGTACTGATCACAGTTAAGCAATTACGTACATTTACTTTTGTAATCATGATATGCCATCCCAGTCAAACCAGCATTCAGGAGTGAAGAGGTTCGAAGTTATATTTGGAAGGGTATCGATATATCGGGAAGCACTTAATCTAAGCTGACTAGATGTTACAAATGATGCTTAGCATGGCGTCGCAGCTCGTGATCTGACGTGGATGCGTGACAGAGCGCCTTCAGCTGGAATGTGTCCAGTAGAACACGTGAGGCCAGTATAAATGTAGAAGACCTACAGAACTCATTATTTGGAGATTTATTTACCTCTATAAGGTTATTCATCTGCGCATTTTCTATTTTGTGATTTGTACTGTATCATTGTGCTTGACATTCCACTGTTATGAAGAGCTTATAAAACTATCAAGTTGAGTTCGCACTTGTTGAGACGCAACTATAAGCAAGAAGAAGCATGTTTTAAAACTGAATGTTCCGGTTAAGTCAATGTAAATACATGTTCCAGAACACTAACACAGCTATGAATAATCTCAGGTTTTCAACGGGTATCATTAAACCTAGAGTAATAAATTTATTTTTTAATCAAACCTTTTTTCAGTTTGCTAAAACCATTAATTGGATGGTCGCAAGAGTAACGAGTAGTTTTATGGTGTGGTGTATTTAGTTTACATGATAGTGTTGAACGTACCTCCAGTATTTGTCATTTCCAGAGTAGTTCCTAAGACATGTTGTGATTAGTGAAACAGTGAATATTTAATGACTGTTATCAATCTCATAGTGTGATAAAAGGCGATAAATGAATTTTTTCCATCTTAATCAATTATGTTCCATTCTTATTGAGTTCTTGTTATACTGCATCAGTTTTCGCGTTAAAGAACTGCGGCTTTATGATTGAGCGTCTATCTGGTTAGCTGCTTTCATTAAACATACTTTATATTTATGTACGTTACTCTCTTAACTTGACTTTTGTTTAGTAATATGACAAATAGTATAACTATTGACGTCCTTCCTTTTGATTTGATATTTCATTTATCATTTGCCAAAAGTACATGACTTGGCTTTAAAGAGACACGTTCCTTGTGTAAATCACAGTAAAAGTTTGTCCAATTAACAACTTGAATTTATTTGCATCGAACAAATGACTTTGGAATTTTGTTCTCCTGCCTTGAGCGTAGTGTATACCTTTCGTTTCTCTTTAAATTTATATATAGAGAACAGGTAGATTTAGCACATAATAATCATTTGTTAATAACATTCTATAGCACACCAAGTAGAAACGGCGTTTTAAAGTTCCTCCTCTAAACAGAGAGCCAGATTAGTGTGCTGTCCTACATTTCGACCTGTCTTTCTGAGGTTCTAGATAAGACTTTCGTATTTTAAATAGAACTTTAAGATTAATCGGTTTCTTCCGATCTTATTTAAGTCTGATATTGTGTATGCAAGTGAGTTGAAAAATAGTGCTCATCTTCATGCAGCGTTTTACTTTTAAAGCCAGCCACAAAAACGTGTGCGTTCTGCTAATTAAGTTTGTCTAATTTTTTTCCTCGAATAGCCTGAAGAATGTATTATTTACGAGCCTACATAAAATGTCTGAGATCTTGAATATATGTGTGATTAATTTGGCCGTTAGCCATCAAATATCTAGTTATTTATATCTATCGTCAGTTTGAGTTTGAAATATGAGTGGATGGTACACGAAATCCTTAATCATTTTAGGGAGTCGAGATGACATAAATAAAATATGCCAGACCATTCCATATGCTGAAATAACTTAGTTAGATCATTTTAAGCTGATAACGGCTGTCGCAGTTATTGTTATTCAGTCCTATGTTAATTACGTTACAATATTTTGGAGAACGATTTGCTTATATTAATAGAAATAACTTTTGGACATAATAATATATAACTTGTTGATGGGTTCACGACCAAATGGTAAATAATCCATTATCATAAAGAATTCATCTATTTACAACCTCATGTTTCATAATCAGCCCTACACATTTTTAACACTGAGTGTTTATATTATTTTTCCAATCATACACATATTACATAAAGGCCTATATAAAGCTCTAAAATATCCTTTTCTTCTTATAAAGCCTTGCAAATCTCAGTAATTTCTTAACATACAAGTAAGCTGAATTAACTAAGTAAACAACTTACGTTAAATGATACCCTCAAAACTAAAGACTGTTACTAGAGAACTCCAGAGTCTTTGTGATTAAAAACGCCAAGCAATTCGCGCACAGTTTTGTCATTATACAACAGATAATTCTTTACGGCTTAGTAGAAAGTATTGCAAAATTCGATGGCAAAATATTTAAATGCCATGCGGTTTATTTAGACAGTTGAGTTTACAAAAACGTTTTAAGTGTATTAACACAGAACGAAATTGTTTATTTGATCAGCAAATCTCAAAATCTAAGTCATAGTGCTCTTGAGATGACAAATAACAGAGATATGTTGCAAAGAAAAGGATGACATTTTATTTTCAGAAATGAATACCACTTTCTTCTTTCAACAAAATCATTATTTAACTTGAGTTTAGGAGCATACACATGATGAGTTGGGGATATCAGTTTTTTTTAAAGCATATGAAAATAACAAGCTTGGTGTTTTACTGAAAAGTATCAAATAAAAATTCAGAATAAGTTCAATAACACGTTTTGTGTAAAAACTAATGTTATTTATCGGTACAAAAATATTTTATGATACGAGGTTTGATGAAACTTCCCTAAAAATGAACCCAAAATCTAGTTACAAATGACTTAAAGAACTTTGATTTTTTATTTTATGGTAGACTAATTGTATCAGTATGTGGTTTTAATTAACTATGCTTTAATCAACAGTCACCTATTTACCTACTTACGCCTGTCAACCGTTGTGTGACAACGTTCTTACCACTGGACATTTACACATAGCCCTTATTCAATAATTTAAGGCTACGAACCACTAAAGTAGGTGTTTATTGGGCTGTATGATTTAATCAACAGTCTGTGTGAATACAATTTACAAGACTGGTTTTTTTCAATCAAAAACATTTCATGAGTTATCCTGTAAGGTAAGGGTATTTTTTGAGCCAGATCAGTTGACAACTACGTAAGTTAACACTGTTATACTGTTGACGTGGAAAAAATCAATAGGTAACAAACATACTGCAAAGAGTCAGTCTATCTACTCCTTATTCAAGTGAGAATAATAGTTTGATAGCTGAAATGATCGTTTTATAGGTCTCTGAAAAAAAATTTCCACCGACGTGAAAAAAGTGGATACACTTATTTCTTCGAACAGTTTATCGAATTTATAAAGTGCTTCATTGAAGTCAGCGTTTGATATGTTTGTTTTTCATAGATCTAGACATAAAATACTAAGTTAAATAAAATTATTTGCAACAAACGTATTTATTTTAGATGTGAAAACTTCCTATCGTCACTTGCAGCTTAATGTATATAATCTCATGTGACTAACAGTTTATACACCTTTGTGTCTATTGTTAGAAGAGCAGTCATGCAATCTATTAGCTGATAAATATAGAGATATAGGTATTAATGAACATCTATTATCTAATCCTAACGGTACCAGTTACATTGCTGTAACATCTACTGAACTTCTCAATATACTAGATGAAACTACATTATGTAACAAACATTTGATATTATATGGTAATATTGAAGGTAAAATCATTATTTTATGATCTGTTATTTGATATTCCAACCAGACTCACTTTATTTGAAAAAATGGCTAACAGTTTTATAGTGACAAAAAACACCTGAAAATAGATGTATTTCCTCATCTTAAGATAATTTATAGATATTTAATCTATACGACTGTAAAATCAAACTTTAATACTAAACAGTATAATATGATGCATATTAAGTTTAAGATTCGAGGGATTTCATGATAAAATTACCAGATTATATCATTAATAACCTGTTAATACAGCGATGAGATAGTTTGTACTGATTCAGTATGCAATATAGGAAGTTATCAATTATTTGTCCAAATACACTTTTGAAAAAACTAATAAAACAATCAGTCAGTCAGCTACAACGTAGGACCGGGCACATATACATATCAGTCCAAGTTGCTATACCGCATTAGCACAGCAAGATGAACACCGGATTCATAGTAGTACTTAATTCAGTGGTGGTAATATATGGATGAAAAATTGCATATAAGGATATAGTACAGGAAGAAAGATTTTTTAATAAAACAATATCATCTATGTATTCTTTGGTCAATCTTAGTAACAAAATATAAGTAAAAGAAATTCACGAATAAGTTCAACTTATTCTCTGTAATTAAATTTATTATTGAAGTAAAATAGAACTAAAAGATTTAAGTACACAAATGCTCATTAAAAAAAGATGAAAATTATACTTCATTTTGTGTTGATTAATCAACTATTTCTCACTTAATGATTACATAATGATAATTAGAAAAATTGAACTAATAAAGATTTACTTTGTAATAGTACAACTTTAGATAAATAATTTAATAACTTGTATTAAGAATGATTACTTATGGATAATCAGATGAAATTCAATTATCGAATATTAAATATGTATATTCCATTACATAATAATATTACTATCTTCAGAAAGCATCTTTGGAAAGATCTCTACTAAAGTGATGAATGTACCTGCATCCCAGAGTTGACGTTCGCTCCGGGACTCGAACCCAGTACCGTTCGCTTCAAGCCACATCACATTATCTACTTAGCTACTGAGTCCTGATAGCCACTTGCTTGTACATCTTTGCTTATACTGTTTGTGAATTAAAGCAATAAGGAGGCAATACGCACAGTACGCACATATGCCATTAACAGACTGATCAATTACAGTCCTAAACACCAATGGGAAGATTCAAGTAAACAATACCAAGTGAATTTGTTAAACAGAAATGTTACGTCGATTTACAAAATTATGAATGCTCGTTAGCTGGGACGTTTGGAAGTATAGTATGCATCCTTTGCAATAATATATTTTGGCAATCAAAGCCAGCAGCAGATATTAATGACATGAGATTATTGACTTTCGGTCTTATCAGAATGAAGTAATGACGTTTTTTGTTAAATCATACACAATAGTTATAATTTGTAGTTATAAGACGCAATATATGATATCCTACAATATGGGTCACCTTGATTTAGTTACATTCATAGTTTAGTGCCAGATATATCTCGATCTAAATCTTATTTTATACTTCTAATTCTCGGTATTTCTATTATTCAATTTTCTCCTCTGACGTTAATCATTATATTTCTTGGTTAATCTTTGATTTCTGTTCATTTGTTTCTTTGCTGTTGTGATATGAGATATGGAAAAAACTAGCGAATGCGCAGTCCTGATGGATTGTATATTATTCTGAAGCATCTAATTGATTATCGAAACTTAATAACTTCTGGTCTGAGCCATGTAGGTAGATGCAGATTACTTGGTTGGGGTCCGCGTGACTATCTTAACCAATAAATAAAAATAATATATTTGTAATATCCCAATGAGTAGAAAATTGGATTTTCTGACGTTTCGTGGCTTAGTGTAAGTCACTTCTTCAGAGAATAAATAACCAAATTAAATTAATTTAATTTGGTTATTTATTCTCTGAAGAAGTGACTTACACTAAGCCACGAAACGTCAGAAAATCCAATTTTCTACTCATTGGGATATTACAAATATATTATTTTTATTTATAACAATCAACCCAATGCTCAATTTATTCGAAATTATCAAATCAAACCTTGGTAATGACACCTATCTTAACCAATGGTTGGAGACTGTGGGTGACATGGCTCAGAATCGATCACAGTGGCGTAGGTGTATACACTCTCTGTCTTCCTTTAAACTATGAAATTAAAACCACCTCATATCTTTCTTTCTACGAACTAATTCTGTACTATGTACTTATATGCAATCTGTTTTTTATATATTACCACCACTAAATT